GCGAGAAAATATTCGAGTTGTTAAACCCATCTTGGATGGGGGGCAGCACGAATAAGGTTTAAGAAAACTTGGAAAATCGACTAAGTTATAAACCTTGATAACGAATATGCAAATATGTTTATCAAATTAGGAAAATGCTAAGTGCTAAGAAGTATTTAATAAATATTTCAGGAAAGATGATGATTCTTGAATACTTAGGCAAATGCGTTTAAGCGATTAAAAGGATATGCAATGCAAAGTACAAAAACACCAAGGCAGATTACGAAGGAAAGTAAAATACTTCAAAGAGGTTAAAAAATTAAAACCGAGATATAACCGGCAATATTCAGAGCAAACTAAAAAGGGGCTCAAAGAGCCCCGATTGAAAAGGAAATTACAAGGTTAACCGGCATCCCAGACCTTCATTCGGCTGGATTGGCAGGAGTCTCCTTTGGTGCTGCTGGAACCTCAGTGGGCTGAGTGGTTTCCTCCTCACCCTCTTCAACAACAATCACCTCCCCCTCAGTTTGAGTGACTGAGTCACCCGCTGGAGATGCGGAGGGAGGAGGAATGATTTGGCCATTGCTGACGTATACCCGGGAATTCAAGCCGGCCATGTTCAACTGCACATCAGGGTTGAGGATTTGAAGTTTGCTTAAGGCATTGTTGAAGGAACCAGTGATGGATTTTTCGAGTTCACCTCGATAGAGCTGGGCACTATCCTCAGCTTTCTTCAACTTGTCCTCCAACTTCTCATACATTATCCTGAAGCCCTTCATCCTCAGGCAGTCGCCGGCGCACAGGCTTTGAAGTTGATTATTGTCCCGTAGAAGGTTGGTGAAGTCCTCATTCACTTTGGCCAAATCAGCAACAGTCTGGTCATGTTCCTCTTTGAGAGAGGAAAAATCCTCCTTCACCTTCAGCAGTTCGGCAACCGTCTTCCCTTTCTCCTCCCGAGATGCAGCAGCCTCATTAAGGGTGCAAAGATATTTGTGCTAGAGAGAAAGTAAAGGTCTTTCCATTCCAGCCATCCTCACACAGCAGAGTTCTATATCCTACAGTTCCTTAATCTGAGCTGCGGTAAAAGGAGATGAGCTGAAGAATGGTTCAGGAGGGAAAATCGCATCCTGGAGAACACCACTCATCCCGGACTTCCATACAACATGTTTGGCTAACACAGGGGATGAAGGAGGGGGAGGAGTCTTAACCATTTGCTGAGAGGAGTTAAGGGCACCAGTGTCAGCAGAGATTCCCTTATTCTTACTGCTGATAGCAGCAGCATGGCCTTTAACAGCCGGGATTCCATTGGCTTTGTCAGCGGCAGGCTTCTTGACCTTAAGATATGAAGCTTTTCTTTTTCTGCTTGTCGAATCGATAGCAGCATCTTTCTTTCCTTGGCTCAAAACGGCTAGCCAGCTGGGTTGTTCAATTTGTTGGTTTTCCATGTCGGGAACTGCAAGTCAAAGGAAACGAAGTTGGTTATAAGATGCAGTATAACCAATGTATATAGAAGTGTAAAAATAAAACATACTTAGTTCAGCATCAAGTTCTTCTTGGGACTTATAAATAAGGGATGCAACACTAGCATGCTTGTGCGACTGGAGGTATGTACCCATTGCGATCACAGTATCGACATCAGTGGGGTTCAACTCGGAATCTTTGAAACGATAGCTTGAAGAAGGAAATTGATAGTGGTCAGATGACCAGTATAAGGGAAATTTTCCCTCCAGATCTTCGAAGGCGCAATTACTGAGAAATCATACCTCCTTACCGGTATGCGCAGAGACTTTAAAGAACTTGTCTTTAAAGTTTTTGAAAGAATCAGTGTAAACTTGGAAAAGTTTACGACCAGGGACACCCCGGATGGTGACCTAATCCTTTCGTTCTGGAGGTTCACGACCAGTTCGAGGGGTAATTGCTTGAAAAAAGAAAAAGAAAATGCAAACAGAAGGCGACAGAGTAAGGTATGCACAAAAACGCTCGAATGACTTGACGAAACCCCAAACATTGGGGTGAAGCTGAGTAGGAGCTATGTGAAGGTGATTTAGAATGTCCATCTGGAACTCGGTAAAAGGAAACGTAATGCCAAGTTGAGTCACGACATTCTGGTAAAAGAAGAAGAAACAAGGCTCTTCTGAAGTTCCCTTAGAGCAGACCGGTTCATCTTCTCGTGGGGGGATTATATCGAAATTCTCTAACTTCCCAACGGGAAGCTCAGCTACATCATCAGTGCTCATCTCGAATAAGTATTTAAGACTTCGTAAGTTACCCAGGGAAACTGGCATACTAAAGAGGTAAGAGGAGACTCGAAACATGACTCGGCAGAACCTGACTCCTCTACGACCTCGGGGGGGGGGGGGAAGATGCCATAAATACCTAAAACAATAAAAGAGTTTAATCAGAAGAACAGAATGGGCATACCTAAATCAAAAAAGCTACTCGATGAAGAGTCACTAGAAGATGAGGAGGAAAGGTTGTCCGAGATGGCAATGGGATCATCTGCCTCACCAGATGCGGGGGTAGAATCTGGAACATCCTCTTGTCGGCAACTAGCTAAAGTAGACTCGGCTAAAGAGTCTCACCCTTGTTCAATAAGTTTGGAACTCAGAAAAATGCATGAGTAGCAAGGACCGACTTTCTGGAGAGGGAAAGACCGTTGAACAACCCGACGGGATAAGGGAGATGTTGGTTTTGTTATAGACGGGCGATGGGGAATTTCGGGACTGGTTTGCGAAAAGTATTGGGGAATGCGTCTGCTCATGGAAAGACGACTACCACCCCGACTGAAGGAACCACTTCCCCAGCTCTGACCTAATTCCTGACCAGATAACCCGGACCTTCTTTTGGATCTACTACCGCGATAACCGCGAAGCATGGCTTCCCGTTCCTTTTCCTCATTTCTAGGAATCCCCCACAGCCAAAAACGAGCACTAAGGGGAATCTTTTTCAAAAATTCAGAATCTTCCTCCTTCTTCTCCTCACAATGAAGAAGGAGGTTTTTTATCCCTCATTTTGTTAAGTTCCAAACGACACAAATTTTTAAAACAACAAAGGAACAATGACAAGGAGAGGATGATGAACGCTAGAGTGTCAGGAGTGAAGCAATGTACAACACTCTAGAAATACAGAAAGTTGATGCAACAAGAAGAAAATCAATCAACAAACAAATCAACAGAATGACATGCGAAGAATAGAAAGTTCCAAAAAGAAAGAAACATGCTCAAAATCAGCTGGTCAAATGCGAACAACCCAAGGAAGAAGTAACGAAAATGCCAAAGCAAGCGAAGTTCCTGAATAAAGAGATGAACTTGTAAGAGTTTGCAAGAAGTGCGATCAAAGATGCTGGTGCGCAAGAAGAAGAGAAATTTCTGCACAACGCTCACAATTGAAACAAAGGCAAGAACTTCTCTAGGAAATCAAAGTAAAGAACAAAAAGAGGTAAAACATGCGTGCAGAATAGGCACAATGGTAACCACAGTAGTCGTGGATGGCAAGGGTCAGGGGCACCAAAGTCATTTCACCCGTGAGTGATAACCGTAGCAGTCGTGGATGGCAAGGGTCAGGGGCACCAGTGTCATTGCACTTTAAAAGCAATGATTAGACGCCTGAAACGACGCCCCTAATAGATGGGCACAAAATGCGAAAATGGCATAAAACGGCTGCAGCACGCTAACACACGCGTCCAATGTAACAGCCTCAAACCCTGTAGCATGATATTGTCCGCTTTGCCCCGCGCACAAGCACCGTCGAGCTCACGGTTTTGTTTCTTGGGACACCCCACAAAAGGCCTCATACTAGAAGAGGTATCCACACCCTTATAAGGCATGCTTTGTTCCCCTCTCCAACCGATGTGGGACATTACATCCTCCCCCACTGGGAATACAGCGTCCCCGCTGTACACACCGGTCCAGGGCCAGGCTCTGATAATTTGCAAAAGTCGTTATTAGTTCGTTGTGCACAATGATCTGCTTGACTCAAGGATATCTCCTTCTTAGATACCTTGAAGATGACATTAGATCCAAGATTAACCTACCAGTCTATTAGACTGGAGATTTATGTCTCCAAAATAGAACAGAAGTCTATTTTATCATTTAACTCTCAAATAGTATCACTCATAAGTCATAACCAATACTCGGACTGATCCAAAACTTAAATTATTTGTATGTGACTTGTACATTTATTTGATACTTGTTAAGGTTTATTGTGCTTACTTTAGTAGTCCAGTATGTTTTAGGAGGTAGTTTTTTTTTTATGTATAGTAGTCTCATGTTTGACTTGACTTGACATCCACTGTCTGTTAGTCTCAGGTAATTTTTCAATACAAATCATTACTCAAATAAATAAGTCTTCTTAGTCAAAGATTTTAAATTCAAGTACTAATAATGGAAAAAATATTATTGAAAAAGCTGTGTTATATGGATCCGACAACAATTAATCGGTTGAAAAAAATAAAAATAAAAACCAATTAGTCGGATCCAAAAATATCCTAAAAGTCACCCTACCTAAATAAGAGAAAGACATGTGCTCTATTATTTATGATTGAGTGTGGTTGTTAAAAAATATGAGAAACAAATGATGTTATACAATAGTTTATGCTGGACGTGATAGGTGGAACCAAATATGAAACAATGAAAGCCGACCCCATGCATTATGGAGTTATCTGAAACACTTTTTTAGTGGGGAAGAGAGAGAGAATGCAGAAAAAGAGAGGAGAGAGGAGAGATTAGAGAATCTTTGGTGGGAATAATGACTACACTGTTAGCTTGTTTTTGCTTCTTTCTCATACTATGTTCAATCAACTATGTTCAATCAACCTAGTTGATAGTTTGAACTTTTTATGTATGTGATGGAAGCAGGTGTTTGCTTTCTTTAAAAAAACCCAAAATTCTACCAAAAAATAAAAAGAAGTTACTGTATTTCTGACATTCAGAAAATAGCATATTTGATCATATCCTCTATGTTTTTTTTAAATGATTTTATATATCTCAATACCTCCCTTTCCTCTAACTTCTCTGTCCCCCAACTCTCCACTCCCATCTTACCTTTGCTTTCCCATAATTAAACATCACTGCCCACCATCTCATTGTCTCTATCTTTCTCCCTCCATTTACTCTCCCTTTATTTTTATTCCTTTTTCAGTTAAATTGTTTTATACTATTAGAAGAAGAAAAAAAAACTTAGTTCTCACTTTACCTTCTGTTAGTGTTTCATGAACTTAAAAATCCCATAGGCTTGTTTTGTCTTCTCATAATCAACCATACCAGGAGAAGAAACACTGAAATACATGTCTCCAATTCCAAAGTGATCTCAGAAGCAAGACACTTTCACTTGATCTTGAAACTTGAGAGAGAGAGAGAGGGTATGTGATACTCTTTTACTGTTATCTCTGTACTGAACTGCTGATTGTTTTCTTGTTTTGTTTTTCTCCTTGTCTTTAGTCTTTCATGGTTTCTAGACAAGTTAGAATCACTGGATAGACTAAATGTTTTCTGAATTCTACCTTCAAATGTTCCATCATCCCATCCTTGCTCTAGTTTTGCCGTTTTGCCTTATTTACCACACCACCAAACTCTCCCTTCTTCACAAGTAAGACTTCCTTTTGTCCTTGAATTGGAAATGAAGAAAATGAAACAAGTTTCTGCATGCAATTCCTTGACTTGGTTATCTGCAGATGTTGTTCTTCCTCTATATTTATGTTTTTGTTTTTCTTTGTCTTGTGTGCTGACATGGTGGTTACTCACTCACTCACTCACTCTTATTTCTTACAATTTGTTAATCTTGCTCTGCACATGCAAACTGATAGTGTACAAGTTTAAACTGAGAACTGGGTTCTCTCTCCATCCCCCCCCCCCCCCCCCCAGTGTTAAAGGGTTGAGGGACACTCAATTACGGTGTTCAATCTCCTAAGTAATTTGGTTCTTGGAAATATATAATTAGAAAGAATCTCTCCATATAGATTTCAGATCAAGAGTGAATAGGTTGTTACTATTAGTGTAAAGTAGTAGGAATTTGATTTCCTGGATAATTGATAGTACTCATGCCATGGTGAATGTAAAAACACTAACTATTGATGAACTTAAGGTGTGTTTGGTACAAGATAAATTTTTTTGGTGACCGGAAATCATGATTAATGAAAATTCAGTAGAAATTGAGTTTACTTGGAATCTTAGGAAAGAGGTGTTTGGTTCGCCAAAATATTACCGAGAATATTGGGTAAAAATTACTGATTTCATATTTGGTTTAGAACGAAATATGACTTGGAATATGAGGTTATTTTACAAAAATAACCCCAAACTATTTTTACTTTTGTAATTGATAGATTGAGTCTAGATTTTTATGTGTATTGAGGTATTTTTGTCTCAAAATTTATTATTGTGCTTTCCCTTTACTTGGTATTCTGATTGGTATTCCGAATTACCATATTATTTTTGGTAATCTGAATAGTGACTTTTCTTTATAAATCAAATTACCGGTAATTCTTGGATATCCGGGAATCGTAATTTATTCCTTCCACCAAACGTGGTAATTACATTTACCAAAGAAGGATTACCGGTAATCCTCTTCAAAAACTTGAAACAAACACCCATGGCATGTTTCCTTGCTACTTTTTCCCAGTTCACATGCTTACAAAAAGAATTCTAGAACATTGGAATGGATAATACCAAGTCTGACTTGACTACATTGGGTCATAAACAAAGAGTTCAGTGGGAGTTTCCAATCTGAATTGACAATACATATCTAGTTCGACCTTAAATTTCAATCATACATTTGCACCTAAGGTGGGTTTTGAGTGGTTCATACTCAAGATTCTTGTTTTACTATCTTTTTTCTTAGAGAAGTCTAAAAAAGCAGAATAGGCTAAGGGATAGTGGTATCCCAACAACATAAGATAAGATCCCGAAACCTTGCTTATGAAGAGGGGTAATTAATTCCTATTGCACCAGCCAGTATTTGGTCTGTGTGTCAAAGACTAAGGATAGATGGATTTTGTTTCTAAAAAAATTAAGGAAAATATTTGATCATTGTATTTGATTTCAGATCTACCATAAGCCAAAACTCAAATTCAATAGATATTATTTCTACTTCAACTAACGTAGTTTTGTTTATGTTTTTCATTATGGGTTGTGGTCATGGATAAGCATTCCATTTATTGGTAACAAGGTGAGGTACGAATTATTTTTACGGTACAATTTGCTTTTAACCAATACCCTTTGAATCATCCCACTATTTAGTACCTCCTTTTATCAGTTAGGTAGGCCAACGTATTGCAAAGCAAGCACTTAATACAAATGCTTTTTCAGCATTTAGTCCATTTATCGAGGTACTTGAAACACAACACATGCCAATATTTCTATGTCAATGAAAATGTGTATCTGTGCCAGGCTGCCAGGACTAATTGGCTTCCATAAAGGAAGACATAAAGCTTAGATGTTTGTTTTTTGCCCCATGCTGGATAAATTATAATCCTTTACAGTAGTATCAAATATCAATAGAAACTAGAGGCCTGTAAAATTATGACTGAGGTCAAACTAACTCAAGAAGTTCTAGTTTTGATGCTTGCTAAATATGAACTGATGGATTTTTAATTGCAGGACCAAACAGTTCTTTCACTTCAAGCTCTTACAAATAAATCTTATTCTGGTGGTAGGTTGATGCACTTATTTGGTCAATTAGCTTGAAAATTAGCACGGGTAAATCATGAAACCAAACTTTGATCTTGAAGTGGAGGCCTCAGCAGAAGATGAATCTGAAGTTAGTAGCAATGCTGCTTCCAATATATCTATTCATGAAACCACTGCAGGCCCTTGTAATGAAAGCCCCACTAACCCTTCCAATGTCACAAATCCAACAGAGCTTCATCCTCATTCAGATGCTATATCACTTGATTTAACTCTCAACTTCAATAAGAATGACTTAGTGGCAAGAGATTCAATAGGATTCTCATTCTCAAGCACTAGTGAGAGCAGCAACAATGAACCTGCTTCTCAAACTACTGCAGCAACCATCCCAAGAGTTTTCTCTTGCAATTACTGTCAGCGCAAATTTTTAAGCTCACAGGCTCTTGGTGGCCACCAAAATGCACACAAGAGAGAAAGAACATTAGCAAAGAGAGCTCTGAGAATGGGGTTTTTTTCTGAAAGGTATGCCAGTGTAGCATCTCTTCCTCTATATGGTTCATTTAGGTCCTTGGGGATAAAGGCACACTCTTCAATGCACCATGGTTTTTCACCAACAATAAGGCCTCCTGAGATAAAAAGCAATGCAAGATTTGAGCAAGGATATATTGGTCTTCCAATATTCTTGGAGGATGATGATGCAGAACTGTTGTGGCAAGGTAGTTTCCGTAAGGTTACTGAGGGAGGTAATACTCATCAGAACTTCATAACTGGAAGTTCAAATTTGAGTTTTGCTGAGGTGAATCCACCAGTTGAGACAGAGAACTCGACACCCGAATTAACATTGAAACTTTGATGGGGTTAACAAGAGTTTCCTCTTATTTTGTACAGTAAGACATACATGCAAGGGCAATGATGATGCCAGATTGATCATTATACTTGCTGGGCCACCTGTGACTATCTTCTTCAGTTTTCTCTTACAAATCCTTGCTTTGGTGTTTTACTCTGCATGTTTCTTGTTGTATAAGAGCTCTGAGAGTACAATTTTGGAGCTCCTGTGCCTGTCATATAAATCCTGTTTTTTGTTTACTGTAATTACTGAGCTTCTACTGTGTTTTCTGTATCATTTGTTTCTATTTTGGATCATATTGACTATTAATTATTTAGCTTCTTTAGTTAGAGGATAAATAATTTAAGGTTTCTAAATTTATTTCCTCTTAGAAATGTGATATGAGCTCAAGTAACTACGGATACTTTGCAGATGGAAGTTGCTTGGAGGTGGTCAAGGTTACTTTTATATACTAATGAAATTCCACTCTTTTGACATGGTATATCATAGTTTATTACCAAACCAAGAAAGATGAACACAACAAAGGATTGGTAATAGGTAACAGACAGTGGAGGAGCTGTAAGCGCTGACGATGGCGGGGAGTGGTCGCCGTTGCAAAGAGGCACGGACAAGGAGCGGCTCCTGACAGGCTTCCAGCAGGGAGTTACATACGTGAATGAATCGAATCGACACCCGAAAGAGAGGGATTCCAAAGACTGTGCAGGGATGAGACTGCACAGTTTGGGATAGCTTGTAAGAATTAATTGGTACTACCTATACTAACAAGATGCATATACTTTTCGGTAGCTCATAACAGAAGAACTCAATAGTTAAGCGTGCTTGACTTGGGACAATTCTGGGATGGATGACCTCCTGGGAAGTTTTCCCATGAGGTGTGTGAGTGAGAAAAAAGCACACTGAAAAGTCTCGTATTAGTATGTGGGGGATAGTCATTGAAACTTGAAGCGGCTGGGCGTTACAAGTCGTATCAGAGCAGGGCCTCTCTTCTAGTACGGTGTGGTTCGAGGACGAACCAGGCGGAAGCTGGTGGGCATGCAACATCCCAAGCGCTGACGAGGGAGGGGAGTGATCGACAGTGGGAAAGGGCATGAATAAGGAGCGGCTCCAGACAGGCTTCCAGAGGGGGGTTACATGAACGAATGAATGTAATCGACACTCGGAAGAGAGGGACTCCAAAGACTGTGCAGGGATGAGACTGCACAGTTTGGAATAACGTATAAGAATTAATTGGTACTACCTATACTAACAAGATGCATATACTTTTAGGTAGCCCGAAACGAAAGAACTCCAAAGTTAAGCGTGCTTGACTTGGAGCAATTCTGGGATGGATGACCTCCTGGGAAGTTTTCTCAGGAAATGTGCGAGTGAGGAAAAAACACACTGAAAAGTCTTGTGTTAGCATGTGGGGGATAGTCATTGATTCTTGAAGCGATCGGGCGTTACAGGAGCCAGGATTGGAGGAGAGGGGATGCGAAAATTAATTTTTTGTCTTGCATAGTTTTAGTGTTTTCTTACCTATTGACCCCATACCTTCATGGAACTCATTTAGGTAATTTCTTACCAAAATATTAACATTTAACAACATTTCAATGACTGAAAAAATGTACTACTGGCTAGGTTCAACAGACATTAAAAGTAGTGTAAAGCAATAATTAAAAAAAAAAGTGCCTATATTAAACATTAACATTAACTAAAACAATGCTTTTAAATATTTTTTTTTAAAAAATAAAGACTGTAACCAAGTTGCTCCAAAAAATGAATCTTTTAAGTTAGAGCAAACTTATTTTCTCTATATGAAACCACTACATAAAGAGAAACACGACTATGCAAATAAAAAAAAAGAAAAAAGAGCAAAGCAAAAAGGTCAAAGCTATCATTAACCAAAACATAGCAAATGAAAATAAAAAAGAAAATGAAGAAAACGGTACACATAACACACACATATTACGTGAAGTGGAGGTAGATTTCAACTTGGATTCAAATCAGAACTTCCTGAAGAAGCACATTTAACAGTAACAATAGCACCACGTCTAGCGTTCAACTGCATCATATTTTTTCTTTCTTTTTGTTTTTGGGAAAGGGGGTGACCGCCCACACTAGCCTCCCCTTTGCTTCGCCCTTGGTAACAGATAATGAGCAAGAACCAGAAGTAGACTTGAATTTTTTTATTATACCTAATTTGTCATCCTTCAATCCTATCAATGCCAAGCAATGATTTTATTTTATTTTTGTTATATAAAACATTTTTTTTGTCTATTTTATTTCTTAAAACATAAATTTTTCTCGGGTTCGTTTTTTCTGCCGTTACTGCAGATAAGCTATCTGCAGTAATCCCAATACGACGTCGTTTTGGGGCGAAAATCATGGTATTTTTGTAATTTTAATTTATTTCAAGATTATTATAGTCTTTATAATTATAATTTTTAATATTTCAATCCCAAAATAACGTCGTTTTGGAAGTAAATGCAGATAACTTATCTGCAGTAACTGCAGAAATATTTTTCTGATTATTCTCACTTTTCTTGTTTATGTAAATCTATATGTAGTATTTGCATTTAGGCAGATTTAAGCACATGCATCGAAGTGGAGGCAATAGCCTATTCATCTAAAAAATGTAAAACAATGGCAATGTATGCCTATGACTAAGGGATGTAATTAGGCCGGAGAGCCTATTAGGGACCTACAACCTGGCTTAATTTAGGTCTAGCTCGGTCTACTCTATTTTTTAAGTAGAGCAAGTTTAGACTTTTAGAAAAATCTATTTAAAATATTAGGACATGATCCCATTTCAAAAAGCCTGGCCTAAAAGCCTACATACTAACCCTTTCATTTTTTTAATATTATAATATATTTATGATATCTATTGTTCACTTGAAGACATATTCTGAACTCATGATTTCGAACACTAATTTTCAAAGTAATATGATTAAAGTTATTTTAACAAATAATAAATATTTATTTAAAATTTAAAGCATAATATTAAATTAAAATAGTAAGAAAAGTGATTTACCAAAAAAAAAAAATAGGAAGAAAAGTGCAAATTATATGCGTATATACATATATGAAAATTTCATGTGATATTTATGAACGTTATTTCATGTGTTGTTAACGAAGATATTAATTATGAAATTTTCATGTGATCTTTATAAACATTTTAATGTTATCGATCTTTATGAATATTATTTTATGTGCTGTCGAAAATATTTTTTCATGTGATCTTTGTAAATAAAATTTCTTATCTTTTATATTTTAGTTTGATTTGAGCTTGTAAACTTTAGTTTGCAACTTGGTAGGCCTTACAGGCCATGTTAGACTTTTTAGTTTTTTTATATTAGGTCAGAACAGATCTATAAATCAAGCCTTTAATAGGCTAAAGACTAGTATAGGCTTTAAATGTTTTACATAGGCTTAGGCTATCAAAGCTAAAGCCTGGCCTAACCTGGCCCATTTACACTCTATAATGACCTCAAATGGTAAATCTTAATTAGAGATTTAATTTAAGGATTTAAATGCTATAATTAGAATCAGAACATGATTTCAAGTGTTTTGACCGGAATCATGACTAGGTCATGAATAGTGCTTTATGCCGGATGGTTTGCATTTTGGGAATCAACCAGTAGAGATTAAAATAAGCAAAATGATTTTAGAGAAATAATTTGGCAATTCTGATGCCAAATATGAGTTCAGAACGAAAAATTGTGTAGTCTGGCACTTTCTGTGAAAATCTCATGAATAGTATTTTATGCCGGGTATTTTGTACTGCTGTTTAAGCAGTCGGTAGAGTCCAGAACTAAATAATTGATGAAATAAGAATAAGAAAGTCCAATATATGTCAAACAACTCATAATTGACCCAAGAATGATAAGTTCATAAGTTTCAAGTCTCGTATGCAAACGGTGCACAGTTAGTGATTCACAGAGCATTTCGTGAGTGCATTTCAGAAAAAACGATGCAGAAACCATATTGTGAATTATTAATATTATTCCTTAGGAAATAAAAATTAATGTAAATAAGTTCAGAAAAATAAAAATATGCCCGTAACTTTAAGTTAGTTCCGGGTCAGTTTAAGTGAAAATACGTGAGAGAAAAAGAACTGGTAAAATGCCACTTGTGCATATAAGTCCAAGTCACTAAAGTAAGTCACTATTCACATCAGATTTCTTTATTTCTCTCTCTCAAAGGCTGAGCCTCACCTCCATGGAAGGGCTAGGTTTCAAGCTTTGTTCTTTCCTTGATTTCTCCCTCCACACTCAACCAAATCCTTAAGTCCATTACACGAAATTGATAGTAAATCATCCGAGGAATCCATTCCACTACTTGATTTGGGCTAAAATTGCTTGTGTGAGATGTTCTTCCCTTCCCCTTTTTTTGAGTTACTATTCATCAAGTGTGGAAATTGAAGTTTTTTATGGAGCTTTGCTTGGAGGTTGTTCTCTAGGCTTTGTGTAAGTGATTAGAGGTAAGAAATTTATATTTCCATGGTTTGATTTTCATGATTTAATTTTTGAAAATTTGAAGTATGTTTTGGTGGGAAACTTGAGTTTGAAATTTGAAATTGGTGATGAATTGGTGTTGTGTAGTAAGTTATAATGTAGATTGAACATGAACATGTGTTTAAAATTTGAAAAAAATCCCCCTTGACCACACCCTAGAATTCGGGCATGTTAGGGTTATTGGGTTTGATGTGCAAAAATTTAATTGCATGAAATGTTAAGGGTTCTATGTGAGTGTAAGTTGTGAATTAAGTGTGAAAGTGAGACTTCAAAAAGGAAATTCCTTGGAAAATCATCCCTATGGATTTCGGCCATTAGGGTCTAATTAGGGATGATTATGTTAAAAATTATTTTGATGATGTGTTTAGGTCCTAATGCATGGCTTTGGTAGGATTTTGAAGTGAAATGGTTTAAGACATAATGAGAGGCACCTTGGCTCCTTTGTATGTGTTGAAACGGCTTTGTGAACAAAAATAGGCAAAGTTAGGCTTAAAAATTGTGATGAGAATATATGAATGATTTAGGGGCTAAGTGTGGGTTCTAGGAACTATTAGAGTTATCCATTGATTTAACGCAAAATCCCTAGTTTCCCTTGATGTTGGTTCGGCCAAGTAGGCTTTGTGGGGCTAGGAATTATTAAAATTATAAAATGGTATTTTATAAGCTTGGTTGGGTCACTTTAGGACCCTATATGGGTATGAAACCATGAGGGTGCTTGTGGTTCATGTAATCATCCTTAAAATGGTCTAATTGAA